ATAATTCTTGGTTGAAAATTTTTCTCTTTCAGGGTTTTATATATACCATCCCATTGCCTTCTCGCTTGCATGGTTTCTGCTGAGAAATCAGAGCTTATGCTTACTGGCTGTAAAAGCAGCAATTCTTGTTTAGTCCTCCTTATTCATTGTCCAGTATTCACATGCATAGAAAGCTATTGAAAATATGATGGCTTGGGTCAAGTGTACTTCAGTCCTCAGAATTACATCTTTGCTTTTTAATAGTTTCAAGAAGTTTTTTGTAGCAGATTTACCTAATGCAGAATGTTGTTTAGTTCTAAAATGCTGCTTCCATGGGCATTGTGTATCCAAGTAAAATGAAATCCTTGACAATTTCAATCTTTTCTCCATTTATCATGATGTTGCTTATTGGTCTAGTTATGAGGATTTTTGTTTGTTTTATGTTGGAGCATAATTTATACTGAAGGTTGCAGTCTTTGATCTTCATTAGTAAGTGCTTCAAGTTATCTTCACTTTCACCAAGCAAGGTTGTGTCATCTGCATATAAACCAAAGCCCACTGCCTTTGAGTCGAACCTGACTCTTAGTGACCCCTCCTTAGGTTTCCGAGGCGGTATCACTACGGAAGTAGATTGCCAACCTTCCTTCTGAGGAGTAGCTGGTGGGTTTGAACCACCAACCTTCTGGTTAGCAGTCAAATGCCTTAGGCACTGTGCTACCAGAGCTCCTAGCAGGTTGTTAAAGACTCTTCCTTCAATCCCAGCTCCACATTTTTCTTCATATAGTCCAGCTTCTTGGCTTATTTGGTCAGCATACAGATTAAGTATAGTGAAAGGATACAACTCTGACAAACACCTTTCCTGACTTTAAACCATGCAGTATGCCCTTGTTCTGTTTGAGTAACAGCTTTTGTATCACTTGTCTATGTACAAGTTCCTCAAGACTACAATTAGGTATTCTGGAATTCCCATTTTTCACAGTGTTACCCATAATTTCTTATGAGTCACAGAGTTGAATGCTCTTGCATAGTCAAGAAAGCAGAACATCTTTCTGGTATTCTTTGCTTTCAGTCAAGATCCATCTGATATCAACATTTGATATCCATTGTTCCATATCTTCTTCTGATTCTGGCTTGCATTTCTAGCAGTTTCATGTTGATGTACTGCTGCAATTGTTTTTAAATTATCTTCAGCAAAACTTTACTTGTGTGTGATATTAATGATATTGTTAGAAAATTTCTTTGCTCTTTTGTATCATCTTTCTTTGGAATGGGCACAGATATGGATCTCTTCTAGTCAGTTGGCCATGTAGCTTTCTTCCACATTTCTTGGTTTAGATGAGTGAGCACTTCCAGCATCGCATATGTTCATTGAAACATCTCATTTGGTACTCTGTCAATTCTTGGAGCTTTGTTTTTCATCAATGCCTTTAGTGCATCTTGGACTCTCCTTTATTACCATTTGTTTCTTGATCATAATGCTGTCTCCTGAAATGGTTGAACATTTACCCCTTCTTTTTGGAACTGTGATTGTGTATTCCTTTTACTTTTGATGCTTCATGGGTCATAAAATATTTTGCCCATAGAATCCTTCAATACTGCCACTTGAGGCTTGAATTTCTTTTTCAGTTCTTGTAGCTTGAGAGCTGCTGAGTGTGTTCTTCCCTTTTGGTTTCTAACTCTAGCTCTTTGTACATCTTAGTATACTTTTTCTTCTTGAGCCATCCTTTGAAATCTTCTTTTCAGCTCTTTTACTTTATCATTTTTCTTTTTTGTTTAGTTACTCTGTGTTTAAGAACTAGTTTCAAAGTCTCTTCTGACAGCTATTTTGTTTTTTTCCTTTTTCTCCTATCTTTTTAATGACCTTTTGCTTTCTTCATATATGATGTTGTTGATGTCATTCCAGTACTTGTCTGGTCATCAGCATTCAATGCATCAAATGTATTCTAGAAGATGGTTTGTAAATTCAGGCTGGGATATACTGGAGGTGTACTTCGGCTTTCATGGACTTGTTTTAATTTTCTTCAGTTTCATCTTGAACTTGTGTATGAGCAATTTATTATTTATTTTGCAGTTGACCCCTGGCCTTTTTCTGACTGATGATACTGAGTTTCTCCATCATCTCTTTCCATAGATGTAGTTGATTTGGTTCTTGAAGACATATCTAGGTGAAAATCTGACAGGTTACTTAAGAAAATCCCTGTGAGTAATTATTTTAAAGTACACATAGTCTACTGTTTTAATCTGTGTTCTTTAGGTGAGCAAAAACAGTGAAGCATATATAGATACATAGAGTTTTACTTCAAGGAAAAAGTTTACCCAGTTTTGGGTGCTGGCAAGTTATATTTGTGGGTCAGGCAACAGGCTGAAGACCACTGCTGGCTCACTTGGTTGTAGGGACTGACGATTCCAAAATCTGTAAGTCTTGCAGCAGGCTGAAGACTTCTTTAGGATTATGCTGCAAGAACTGGAAATCAGGTGATAAAAAGAGTGTAAGGGTTGAGTGTAAGCAAGAACAAGCTTTCCCAGCATACTCTTTATATATTGGAGGCAGGCCAGAGCCCCTAGGAAACTCCTCTTTCATCTGATTGCCTGTTCAGATCAGGTGACAAATTGGAAGACAGTTACATAGTGTCTGCCAAATCACTGAGAATCATAGCTTAGCCAAGTTGACATAATAGCAACCGTAGTCTACCCGTTCTCACCTTGGGAACCTGTGCACCTTTTCCTAAACCATGCATAATCTCTCAGTCGAGGCAACTGTAAAGTCATACACTGTAGCCTAACATGATATAACTAACATGCAAAATATCAAACATAAACTAATCACTTTTACATTTTATATTTTATAATAATTAATGGGAGAGGGGAAGGAAGAAAACAGAAATACTTGCTATATGTGAATACACACAAACATAATAAAACAAAGAAGAAATACTCATCAGTTACAGTCCTTGTTTCTGCAAACCTTGGCGTAGCTGATGTTTAGAACTGCCTTTTTCCACCACCTGCTTCTTATTCTCTTTGCCCTCTGCAAGCAACTCAGCTGGTTTTGGTTCTTTAATGTCATAGTTATGTAATGCTGTTGTTATAAGAGAAAGACCACATGTAGGTGGCTTTAACAAACAAAATTTATTCTCTCATAATTTAACAGCCTAGACTTCTGAATCGAGAGTGCCAGCTCTAGAAGAAAGCTTTCTCTTTCTGTTGGCTCTGGGGGAAAATTCTTGTTTCTTTTCAGCATGTGTCTTGGTTCATGTATATTTTCCCTCATCTTTGCTTACTTACTTGGTTACTTGCTCAATTTCCTCTTTTTTATGTTAAAAAAAGATTAAGACATAACCTACATTAACACTGCCACATTAACACAACAAAGACAACCCATACCTAAATGGGATTTTAACTGCAGGTACAGGGACTAGGACTTATAACACATTTTTTTGGGGACACAGTTCAATCCGTAACACCTGCTCACTGGTGCTTATGAGAATCACTGACCATTATTATAAATATAAGTCCCTGTTACCTTCCAGTTTGGGACTGTTTTTGAAATCGTTGTTATCTGTGGCATCTCAGTGCATGTATCATGCTTCTTCTGCTCACCAGTCATTTCATTGTACTTTAAAGTAAGCTACTTTGAAGGTTGATTGCCTCATTCTTTGAGGTGCCACTTAGGGACCCCAAAGTAAATTTCATACATGACATTATAAAAAAAACAAACCACCAAACCCACTGCTGTTGAGTCAATCCCAGCTCATAGTGAGCCCTCCTTTGGTTTCCAAGGTGGTATTTCTACGGAAGTAGATTGCCTATTCTTCCTTTCCAGGAGTGGCTGGTAGGTGTGAACTGCCAGCCTTCTGGTTAGCAGTCAAATGCCTTAGGCGTTATGCCACGAGAGCTCCCATATGACATATAGCCCATATTTAAACTAAAGCATACCATCCAATTTTCTTGGTAATCTTTCATCTATTTTCATGATTCTGCAAAGGACAAAATATACAAATAACATTGTTTCTGTATTACATAGGTATTTAAAAAGTATATTTAAGTTTGAAAGAGTACTACTGCAGTCTTTGTGATACCTAATGGTTTTATTTAAACATAAAACTCATTGTTAATTAACCTTTAAATTAGTGGCATTTTGCTAATATTTAAATAAATACTTCTGCTTGCTTCACACCAAGTATTTAAGTGCTTACAGTTTGTCAGGCTGAGATTTTGAGATACAAGAGTGAAAAAAATATACACTTCTGCCCTCTTAGAGCTTATAGGCCAGTGGGGATGGAGATGACAGATAAAGGTAATAGGACAAGTATTAGAATGGTAAATCACAGGGTGCTTTTAATTATGAATTGATCGATCTTTTGAATAGCAGTTGGTAGGAAATGTAAATAAAATCTTAAAAGTGTTTAACCATTGTTTTTTGTGAATATGAATATTCTTTCCGTGTGTTTCCATAATTGTTAGAATACTTGAAAATTTTTATATTTGGTTCTTGACTATAGTAGTATTTATCTAGTGATCCTCTAGTATCTTTTATTTGAAATACCACTTCGAGTGGAATTCTGTTGTGAGGTGTTAACAAAATTAAGAGTATTTCAGCCGTCATGAAGACCGTGAATTTCTCAAAAACAGTTTTGGAAATATTCTTTAAATATGTTGTTTTAGAGTATTTCATAAGTTTTGGATAAAGGTTTTGCCAGTTAAATTATGCATCATTACATTGGCCAGAATATTCTTTAAATATGCTTTTTTAGATTATTACAGACTGAGTTTTAGACAAAGGATTTCTGAATTAAGTTATGTATCCTTAGATTAGCAGCTCTAAGTATTTAAACTAAATATCATCTTTATTACTTTGTTATTTTCCATTTGCAATGGGTCTGTCATCATAATTGTATTATTTATTTAATTTAAACATTAACAGTTTCCTGGTTAAATCAGTTAAAACAAAACCTGCTGTCATCAAATCGTTCTGACTCAGTAGTGACCATATAGGACAGAGTAGAACTGCCCCATAGGGTTTCCAAGGCTGTAAATCTTCATGGAAACGGTCTGCCTCATTTTTCTCCTGTACAGTGGCTGGTGAGTTCAGACCATGGCGTTTTTTGGTTAGCAGCTGAGTGTTTTAACCACTGTGCTATCAGAACTCCTTCAGATCAGTTTAAAACACTCTAAAATGTCAGCACAGTAAGCTTTGGGGTTTTTGTTTTGATACATTTATTAATATCGGAGGTGTAGGATATTTTCATTTCACCCATTGAGCTTATGTTTTACTATTTTTAAAATTTTACTTATTTTTATTGTTGTTGAGAATATACACAACAAAACATATACCAATTCAGCAGTTTCTACATGTGCAATTCAGTGACATTGATTATATTCTTTGAGTTGTGCAACCATTCTCATCCTTCTGTGAGATTTTCCTCTTTTGTTAAAATCAGCTCACTGTTCTTTAAGGTTCCATTCCCTGGAGAAGGATATCATGCTTGGTAAGGTGGAGGGTTGACACACGAAGGGAAGGCCCTCAAAGAGATGGGTTGACACACAGTGGCTGTAGCGATGGGCTCAAGTGTAGCGAGGATCACGGAGCTGGTGTGGGACTGGGTGGTGTTTCATTCTACTATGCACAGGGTTGGTATGAGTTGGAGATGACTCAAAGGCACCTAACAACAAATCTGATCTTTTGAATAACTGTTGTCAGTTTATACTATACAGATAGTTGTGTATTATTTTTTAAAGTGTCCATCTTTGTGACTCAAACAAGTTGAAAATTGTTTTTTGCAAAAAAAATCTGCATAACATTGCAAAGTCATTCTTAGAAGGGAAAAAGTTTTTGTTCTAAAGAAACTTAAATAACCAGAATAAAATTTGTAAGCACATCCATTTTATTCCTGCAGTTTCTACATATTTTACTCTTTATCTTTGTATAAGTGAAGAACAACTGGGAGTTGTTTTTCATTGTCTCTGGTAAGATATTCATTTTCTAGAAATAAACAAAATGTTTTGAAAATAAGCATGAAGTAACTAGTGGTCTCTTCCCTGTTCTTTGTCTTTATTGGCTGTAGGTAGAAACAAGCTTAGAAAAGAGAGACCTCTACCATCATCTTTATTATGAATATTAATTAAGTAAAATTTAAAAGTAATATCATGTAACTCATACTTTATTTTTCTAGGATCCCACATTGCGCACCAAACAGCCTATCCCAGCTGCCTATAACAGATATGACCAGGAAAGATTTAAAGGAAAAGAAGGTAAGTTGTTTATTTTTTTTATTTTGCTGATTGTGGCTGCAGGAAGCTTTTTATTTTTTATTTTTTAAAATAGCCTTATGGTTAAGAGAAGGGGTTGGCAAACTAAGGTCTGTAGTCCAAATCTGCCTTAGTGTGTGTTTTTAATAAATGAAGTTTCATTGGAACACAATCATGATCATTAATTTACGTTTTGTCCATGACTGTGTTAGTCATATGATAGAAGAGTTGTTGCTACAGAGACTGTATGGACTGCACAGCATAAAATACTTAGTGTCCAGCCCTTTACAAAACAAGTTTGGTAATTCTTGCTTAATAACATGGATACTGAACTCAGATTGCCTATATCACACTTTTTGTATGAACTCTGGCAAGTTATTTTAATTATACTCTTTCTGTTTCTTCATATATATACTTTTAATGCTGTTAGCAGTAGGAACTACCTCTTAATGTTATTGTGGAGATTAAACTAGTTAATAAACATAAAGTCATTAGAATAGTACTTGGTATATAATAACTGTTTGCTGTTAATAATAGTTGTATTTTTGAAAAGTATATTTTTAAGTGGAGATTCTGTATATCAAGTCATATTTTCTAAATTGTAAAGGTATAAATTGAGAACTTAGAAAGCATTGATTTGTAGCATTGATGTGAGGACTGATTTTGCAAAGCCTACATGATATACATATAATGCAATAGTGAACCATTTCTACATTAGTAAGCTGGTTGATGTGGTGAGACTATTGTAAGCTTAATTTCTTCTTGAGATTTTCATTCATCTTGACTTGATTCATGGAGAAAATGAGAACAGCTACAAGCAAATAGGATTATTTTCTGCATAATCTGAAATCTCCATTTAATTTTCTTTAAAGGACGTGTTCCCTTGATGCAGTGAATTTTGTGTTTTGATTTCATTTACTGAGTAAAGGAATATACCAGTTATGGCCCTAGAAAGACATAGTTGTCCATTCTTTTATTCATTGCAGAGTTTTTCTTATAAAAAGAACTATTTAAAGCAGGGTTTGGCAGACTGTAGCTCACAGACCAAATCTAGCCCTCTGTGAGCTGAATTAGGTTGTACCTATCTGTTTATGTATATTTATGCTGCTCTTGCCCTACAACTGTAGACTTCAGTAGTTGCGATAGAGACCGTAGGGCCTTCACTGTGCAAAATATTTAATATATGTATGTCCCACAGAGAAACATCTGTCCTAGAACCCCAATCACTATTTACAACTTTGCTTTTCTATAAAATGAAAACATACACCTTATGATTATACTTTTGGATTGCAATTTTTTTATTAAAAAAAAAAAATAAAACTATGATGCTATTTATAACATCATATATCATGATATTGATGCTATACCATACTATAATTGAGTATTAGGAGTTAATAATTTGGTGGTTATAAAATTATTCAGTCTAATTTTTGATATTCTCAACCAGCAATACTATACTTGAACATATTGCAGAGACAGCCTTAAGCAGATTCTACACAATAGGCTTATTGATATATGTATTGAATATATTTGTGAGACTAGTATCATTTTAAAGTTTTTATCTTCATCAGTGTATTACTTTATAACTTTTCTTTATAGAAACTGAAGGCTTCAAAATTGACACTATGGGTACCTACCATGGTATGACACTGAAATCTGTAACGGTGAGTTGACGTTGACTATAGAGATTCTTTTGTCCTTGGCAGTTTATGTGAATAGCAGATGTTAAAAAAAAATCTTTGTTTTCTAGTACAAGAATACCTCAGAGATACTGTGGGGTTGGTTACAGGCCTCTACAATAGAGTATATCACAATAAAACGAGTTACACAAGTTTTTTGGTTTTGTAGTGCATATGAGTTATATTTTCACTATTGTAGTGTCTTAAGTGTGAATTAGTATTATTAAAAAGTTTGAAATATTGTGAGAATTACCAAAATGTGAAATAGAGACAAGAAACAAGTACCTGCTATTGGAAGAAATGCCACTGATAGACTTACTCAATGCAGGATTGGCACATACCTTCAAGTTGTTAAACAAACAAAAAACCCAGTATCTGTGAAGTACAGTAAAGTGAATCACAATATAGCAAGGTGTGCCTATGCTTTAATGACCAGTTGTGCTAATTTGTGGTAGAGTGTCCTTTTTTTTTTTTAACTGAATTGAGTGTTTTTAAACAAATGCTGTTTTGACTAACTTAGAAGTAGGGCAGATGCTTAACTGATTAGACTATGTAATGCCTGCAAGGAGTTACAGGGTATAGTTTGGAAGAGTCTTTTGCCATTATCTTATGTTCTTTAAATTCTAATGTCTTACAGTCTTTTTTTAAAAAACAAAACAAATTGCAGTGTTTGATGTATGCTTACAGAGTATATGTACTTGATGGAATTGAATGCTTGGGTGTCCACAAATAGAAGCCATTGGTTCATTTTTAGAAAACTCTCTTTTTTATTTTTAACCTCCAAAAGATGGCTATTTCTAGATGTTATGACCAGGCCATATTTCACACTTTTAATTTTTATTGTGTCAATGATAGGACTTGGGAGTGTAGAGCAGAAAATATATTAACCTTATATGGCACATATAAATTATAGAGCATTATACCTTTTCTACTTTAAATACTATGTTTATGTTTTAATTAGAATACCTTAGAATGCTAATGTCAAATTGACTTGTTTTTGTGGATCATCATATTTTTAAGGATTTAGTATAATAGAAACATTTATGAATTTGCTGTGATTTCTCAGAATTAGGATACATTTTTACATCTGTTGGAATTTATTGTGCTTTACTCACTTATTTTCAGAAGCAGGTAGGAAATGTAGAAAATCTGATGATAAAAGTTGCGTTCATTTTCTTTTTCTGCCCTTCACATAGGGATAGGATATTAGATATTTTGTTCATATGTTTGTTTTAAAATTATGATCAGATTTGTTTTTGTAATATTGAAATTGTATATAATATCAACAGCATACTGCTTATTGAGTACTGTGTCTCAGACTCTGTTCTTGCTACTGGGACTATAGCTATGAATAAGACAGTTGGGGCTTCTTTAGAGAGAGTGTCCAGAGAGGCTTCTCTGAGAAGATGACAGTTAAACAGAGACCTGGAGGGGGAGCATTCCATGCAGGGCAGAGACAAGGAATAAGACTGGGGCCCACTAGAGGACCAGCAAGAAAGCCAGTGCCCTCAGAGCCTACTAAGTGAAGGGAAATGTGGTAAGAGATTAGATACCCCTCATATGATCTGGATTGGTTCTTCTTGATGTCAAAATACAATTTGTAACTATAAAATTTAGCTTAAATTCTTACATGATTCAGTTATTGACATTTTCTTTGAGATAGAAGTTAACCTACCAATTATTCCCCAAGTTATTTATAGTGGCACTGGAGTTGTTACCTTTAAGTAGTCATCAAGTAAGTTTGTTGTTTTCATTTTTGTCTCATATCCATAGTTCTGAAATGCCATGAAATTGATTTCATTATCTGAGCTTTCAGCAAATAGTAATATCAGTGGTAGCTTTTACTGTGGTGCCTTTTATAAAAAACAGTTTTTCTCAAAGCCAAAGACAATTTCTTAATTTCACTTGAATAGTATGAGAATGACATGGTTTTATTTCCTCATCAGAGGAAATATTATTTCTAAATAATTTATTATTTATTTAGATTTATTTCTAAATAGATTTAAAAGAGAGGCAAATTTAAACTAATTAATCTATGATTTGAAAGAAATAATCATAAAAAGACATATTACATAGGAATGTAGCAGAAAGACAAATGTCAAAGTTGTTAGTAGTTTTGTTGTTTTAATACCCAGTTTGAACCTCTGTGCTGCTTTAGACTGAATTCATGCAGCCATTTTTAGGAGACTATATAAATTTGAAGTTGAAAGTTCTAAAGTTTCTCAAATGTTTCTTTTTAGTTGAATTTCAAATTTATGTTTTCAGTTTAACATTTTTTCCTCTTCTAATTTGGAATTATTTGTGAGTTTCACCAACTTTCCACTTTTTTCTGTAATTAAGAAAGTTTCTCCTTTGTAATATCTATACCGCTGCACAAAGCTGTTAGTAATGTGTATTAAAAGGCTTTGCTGCACAGATGTTAATTCCTTTCTAATGTTAGATAATTTTTTTTTTTTTTCTACCCTTGTTCTTTGGGATTTGGATATGCCTAGTTGAAGTTAGGGTCAGTCTTCATCAAGATTGATCTGCATATCTTTCAAGTTCCAGATGTTGGACTTAAACACAGGAGTAAATTAATAATAAGGTCACTTACGCAGATGGATAGAAAATTTTTTCCCCCTATATGGTTACAGAAGAAGCTCTGGTGGCGTGGTGGATAAGGCATTTATTTGGCTGCTAACCAGAAGGTCAGCAATTCAAACTCACCAGCCACTCTGTGGAAGGAAGATGGGACAATCTACTTCTGAAAAGATTTGCACCCCCCAAAGGGGGTTGCTATGAGTCGAATTGACTCGATGGCTATGAGTTTGGTTTTGTTTATGTGGGTTACAGAGTAGGAGTTTGGATTTTGGTATTAGTATTTCATAAAAATCATAAGTTACTTAAGTTTATTATAGAAACAAAGGCCCATTCAAGATGTTTTAGGTAGGTGGTGTGTTTTAGTAGTAATGATTTGGTAATATTCTGTAATAATCATAATTTGTTGAAACTAATTATAGGAATAGATGAACAGGTATCTTTAAAGTTACAAGACTGTATCATTTTTGGTTAACTTGATTTAAGCCAGGACATTTGTCTTAACATAAAGTTTCTAGAGGTAGAATCCATGAAAATACAGCTAGAGAACTTTTCGGAGTTGGAAACTTTTTGTTGAAATGCATTACTTGAGTTCTGTATGTTTAAGAAACACTAGATTAAACAGATTTTGTGGTATAGGAATCACCTGTTTTTAATATATAAATATCTGAATAGTAAGAAAATAGTATGCATTGCTTCCCAAGTGTATTTTACCCCCAGAGTTTGGTCCTCCTTTCCCTACTGTTGGGAATATTCCTGGAAACAGCTAGTGTGGGATAGAATCAGTTTAAGAAAAGCTATTTTAGATGTATAGGTTGAGAGTACAAATCATTCTGTGAGGGGAACACCAGAATATATCTTCATGGATTCCTTTTGTGAAAGGATCTATCTTATATTAGGAAAGTAGTATTTGACAATACTTTTCATCTTATAGTAGATAAGAGGAGATGATGGAGACTTAACTTTGCTGTAAAGTAGCAGCAAGGAACCTGTCTGTAGGTCCACTGGAGAGGGAATAAGAAGAAAAAAATCACAGTTCACCCTTAAAATATTTGTAAGGATTTGGTAATTGCATTGATGGGAAAACCACTTCATTTTAATATCTCAGTCTTCATGTGCTTCATGTAGAAGAAGCATGATTACTTTGTTAATTTCATTTTGAAAAAGTATTTTATACCCTGAAATTGAACAACAGGAAGCTTTCCTTTAAGATTTTCATTTGAATCAACTCTAATAGAGTAGTTCTTATGACAAGTCTTGGGGAACTATTTTCCTGATAGTAAATAAACTTAGGTGGGTTTTAATATCTCTGTTAGAAACAGAATAATGTCACCATCAGCTTTCACTCAGGAGGATCCATAATCTCAGTCTTGCCACCAAGTTTTAGTCTTAAAAGCAGGAACATATACATTTGTAATGTCTTTTCCCACCTCCCCAACCCCCTGCACTTTATAACCTTTTTTCATTCACATTTGGTTGGTCTTTAATTAATTTGGTTGCTCACCTCTCTATTGTAAATGTTACGGGAGTACTGTAGTAGCAATAGCTGGATAAATGAACAAGGAAAACCAAAGAAGAATTGCTGCTTTTGAATTGTGGTGTTGGCAAAGAGTACTGAATATACCGTGGACTGCCAGAAAAATGAACAAATCTGTCTTGGAAGAAGTATATAGCCAGAATACTCCTTACAAGGGAGGTAACTTAAGTGTAGTTGGGATATGTTATTAGGAGAGTCCATTCCTTAGAGAAGGACATCTTGCTTGGGTAAAGGGTCAGTGAAAGAGAAGGCCCTCAATGAGACTGATTGACATAGTGGTTGCAACAATGGAATAAAACATAGCAATGATTGTGAGCATGGCACAGGACCAGGCAGTGTTTTCTTTCTGTTGTGCATAGGGTTGCTATGAGTTGGAACTGACTTGATGATACCTAACAACAACAGCATAGTGGCAGTATTGTTCTGTAATTGGGTCTGTGGCCCAGGACATCAGAGGATGGGGATAGTTGCTTAAGGCTTTCTTACTTAGGGCCCTTGTTTTCTTCCTTTCTTTCTTTTCTTCCTTCAGTAAATATTTGTTGAATGTTACTATGTGCCATGCACTGTGATGACATTATGGTCTAGTAGAGGAGAGAAACATTAAATCAGTCACTCAAATGTAAAATAGTGATTGTGGCAAGTGAATAGAGGAGAGGTACAGTGTGGGAGTCTACAATTGGAGGATTTGTTGCAGGGGTCAGAATACTTTGTTGTAGTCTTAATACTTAGGTAAGATCTGAAATTTGAGTAGTAGTTAACGTGGTGATGCCAGGGAGGCACATTTTAAGAACATTGAAAAAATAGTGGGAATAAAAGCCTTGTGGTGGGAAGCATAGAAGTAGAAAGACTTGAAAGACTATTTGGTTTTGTA